GGTGTACCTCGGTAGGGTGGCGCTCGCATCATCCCTAACATAAAACCACTGCGAATGCCATCCCTTGTTGGATGTCGCCAGACGCATGTATGGGTAACCCCTCGATCAGGTATGGCGCAGATGAATGCTGGCACATCCCATTGGCGCGTTCACATCTTTCCCTCCAATCTTCCTCTTCGACAAACTAATGGTAAAGAAATACCGCCACAGATCAAAGTGGGGATCGATCCCCAGGAAACCCTCGCACAGGGCAACAAACGCCGCCATATGTTGAACCCCGTTGGGAGTTAGATGCTGTAGCTCCACCTCATAATAATCCAGCAGCCCCCGAAGGAATCTATGCGCGGGTACCACAAATCCCCGCTCATGGAAGATGGCGAAAGAAACGACATACCCTTCGGGCGGCACTGGCTCACCCTCGTCGCCAGGTAGCAGCCACTCCTGAACGGCGGACAGCAGGCGGAGAAGGCCACGGCGGACGAGGCCCTCCAAACGTCGTGGGGTGATGCTAGATCTGCCCCACAACTCCATCAAAGCAATTGGGGAGAAAAGGGGGCGCGAGCCCAATGGCGGCTATGGGGCAGGCGCAAGCTTGACGGCGGCTGCAGCACGAATACAGGCTAGGGCGATTGGCGGCGGATGTTTCAAGACACAAAGGCAAGGGAGCGAAATACGGAACCTTGGGGGCGAACCCCATGGTTTTATAGGGACGACGGACGCAAGAAGGGCAACCGTCCGCCTCGATCTCTGGGCCTGCCATGCGCACTGCCGCATCACGTCGTGGGACACGCGCCCACAGTCCCTATCCCTTCCCATCGAGAATCACGGTGGACGGTTCGCCTTCCAGGCGAATCCGGACTCCCTTCCCGCCTAGGGAAGGCAGGTCACAAAGATTTCCTCTATTTTGGCCCGCCTAGGGCCCAGAAGCTCGGCGGCCGGCCCAACTAAGGGCGGGTCCACGAACGATCCAAAATCAAGGGTGCAGGCATTACTGGGGTCTCGATCCATGGTCAAGCCCCAGTTAGGTCAGCCCTGAATGGGATCCCCACGAACGGGATACCACGACCCCTTCGAAAAAATATCCAGTTAACGAAAAAACCAAGTCCTTCGGCCTTACCCGCGAAGGGTCCGATACACCCCCCATGGCGGTTCTATCCGAATGACCTGGAGGCTCGGGGGCTACACCCAACGGGTGCGCTCGCGCGCACCCTCTGGTGAAATGACTCTGACGAAATCAAAAAACACCCTCCAGGCGGTTCTATCCGAATCACCTAGAGGCTCGGGGACTACTATCGGGGACCTAATACCAGGATACCCCAGAAGGCAGAACCAATAACCATCGAACGTTAAAAACTTCTGGACGGACAAGGGCACCGCTGCGTTCCTTGCCCGAATGACCAAAGTTAGGTTTCGTCTCGCCCGACGCCTCTGGACCAACCCCGCCTCGCCCGAGGGCAAAAGGCCCCGAGGGCAAAGGGATGGCCTCGTTCTCGCCCGACGCCTTTGGGCCAGCCCCGCCTTGCCCGAGAGCAAAAGGCCCCGAGGGCAAAGGGATGGCCTCCGTCTCGCCCGACACCTTTGGGCCAGCCCCGCCTCGCCCGAGGGCAAGGGGCTGGCCTCCGTCTCGCCCGAGGGCTAGAGAATACTCTCCGCCTCGCCCGACGACCAAGGACGAACCTCGCCCCGATCGATATCCAAAGGCTGGTTTTATCTTACCTGATAACTTCTCTCCCGTCCCCTCATGATGACAGGTACAGTGTAAGACAAGACGTTTGGGTCAACCACGGCTTCAAGGACCATACCCTGCGCCCCCGTAGGAAAGGTACTGCCAGAGAACGACTGGACAGGTGCTTTAGACCCTCCCGGGCGCCGCAGAGCCCAAAAGGTATTGCCGGCGCGTACTCCTCGCCCTATAGAGTTGTAGGCGCCGCCTTCAGCTCTGGGACACGGGACCCGATGAAGATACACGACAACCACTACACTCTAGAAAAGGATTTGTAAATCTCCATGAATGACGGACATGCCGTCGCCACATTATGGACCCAAGGGAGTGGCGCCCGCTTCCCGACCCCTCGGGTCCACCAAATCGCAGGACCTTGCCCACAGCGCTACTCCGACCTCGACTCCGCGTCCCTCGACGAGAGACTCATAGAGCTGAAATGCGTGCGGAGCAAGGTCAAGGCGAGGTTCATAAGTCAAAACCATCAGACTCCAGCCCATGCCTGCTGCAGCAGGCACTATTCTCAGAACCATCCTGACATTCTACAGAAGCATCGACAGTATTGTAGGCGCTTGTCTTCCTTTCGCACCCATCAGAATGGGTAAGGAGGCTAGGTAGAGCACAGATCCTAAGCCATTGACCCTTGTAAAGCCATCCCCTTCATCTATAAAAGGGGATGCGCCTCCTCCAGAAAGGAGAGGAACGGAAAAACAAGGCGACACACACATAGTCAAGCTACTACCAAGCTCTCGACTTCCTTTTGACCCTTTCATCAAAGACTTGGGACCTATCCCTCTCTCGATCGTTTGTATCCCTACTACGAATCATTCACGGTGCTAATAACACAAGCAGCAACAAACTGGACGTAGGGAAATTCAGCCCGAACCAGTATAAATCTTGTGTCCTTTAGCGCACCATCCGAGCCTAACGCGCATTACTATAAATTTACTTGTCGGTGCTTGTACGAAACACCGACACAAGTATTAATTGAAATTGCAATCTGTCAGAGTTTTTCATCATTAGACTTCCTATACAATCTTCATAATGTGCTATTAGATGTTCACTGAAGTTGCTATTCATATGAATTTCAATTTACTGTATGTCTCCTTGTTTGTTAGGTAGTAAATACATCTAATTGCACAAAAGCACTACAACATGCTGTCTGCACTAAAATATCAATTGAAGGTACCTCATTTAAAGTTACTACATAGTTTCTGTACAAATTTCTACAAAATCCAATTATTTTGTTTATAAATTGTGCTAAAAGGCAGTCACAAAAAAATGTTATAGTGCCACATTTGTTTACGAATAATTCTTTGTCTAGTTCAATTTCTTTTGTCGGAGTTTTTTTTGTGCATAGTTTTTTCTTCTTTTTATGAAAAAAACATTTTTTCACGCAGTTGGTTGGTTTTCATGTGATGGAACTTGCCAACTCGAGGTCAAGTTCTTGACTCGAGGGGGTGTATGAATTTTCATGATAGCCTGATAGACGACACCGGGACCGTCGACAGCATCATGTGTGTGTATGCATGCATGTGCATTTTCCAAGAAGATGTAAATGACTAACGTGTTGTTTGGTTCGTAGAATAGTAACACAAATGAAAATAATGTCGAAAGCTTTGATTCTACGTTTGTGTGGAGAATTTATGGCGTTGTTTCCAAGGCTGACACATCATGTAAAATGAATTGAAACTTAGATGAAACATCAACCCTCAATGCATAGTTTGTATAGTTTTATGGACATTTAATTTTATGACTCATATAGAGTTTGTAGTCGTGCCAAGAGAGCTTCCTCCAGGTGAAATTCGCTTCTTCTCTCTTCTTAAAAACATTATCATATCATCGAAAACGTCTATTTGACCAACAATTAATAAATAGAAATAAAACTGACATAGAACTTCTACTGAGACTAATCTTACCAAACAGCTAGCACCTTAAAATCCCACGTGCAGCATGCAGCCTCTGATTGTTGGGATCATCAGTTTTTTCCTCGCAAAGGGAGAAAAAAAAAGTTGGGTGCTAGTGCTAGCTAGCTGATCGTTGTTGGGTTGCGACGTGGCGCTTGCGCGTGGTGGGGTGCGGTGCGACACCGCGGCGCGCGGACCGTTGTAACGGACTAACGGTATCTTTGCAGCAATATGGGTCGAAGACTCCACGTTGAAGGAAGCCAAAGGGATTTTCATGGAAGCTCACAAACGGGGTTCCGATGTCGTGGTGCGCACGGCGCACCGTACGGCAGCAGCTGACCACACTCCTGTCGGAGTCAATGGCGCCGGCCAGTCGGCCACCACGCGCAAGCGGCGGTGCTGGCTGCTAGCCGGCCGGTCGACGCGAGCTGGGACCAGCTGATGATGCCGTTGAGACGGTTAGCTAGCTAGCGTGTTGACGAGTCGCTCCATCTGATTATTTGGCCCAGCCCTTACCTATCGTAATATCGGTCGGTCGTGCCTATCACAATGCTGTGTGGTCAGGTGTATATATAGTTTTTATTTAATTTTCAGATCACACCGAGGCCCTTTGCCCGCGTCCTATTTTTATTATCTTGAATTGGAAGCAAATACTAATTCTGGATGACAAATAAAGCTCCCCTTCCTGTGTGCTGCCGAAAATGTCATGTGATGCGTATTTGACTTGCCTAATAATTTCCTGGTTCGGTGATAATAAATTAATTAATTTGGTGTACGGTTCTTGCTAGAGGGTAACAATCAAGCCATCAAGGTACGCATGATGCATGCCGACCAGCCTCTTCTCCCGAAAAGACGCGGAAATTACATCGCAACTCACATCTTATTCTTTAGTTTTTTTTCTCTCTCTTTATATGTCGTCAAACAAACAACTTGTACTCTTGTATAGTTGTATCTATCATCAATCAAAAGAAGAAGAAGAAGAAGAAGAAGAAAACTTGTACGGAATCAGCTCTCGAAATCAGTTGACCTATATATCGAAAAGATGACTTCTCTAAATCTCGAAAAGATGACTTCTCTAAATCAGTTGACCTACATCTAGCCATACATGGCCGATCGACAACCTCTTCCAATATAAATATATAATATATATACACACATTCATATATATCTCCAGACTCCATCTCATCTTCCTCAGCGTGTTTAGTTTCGATCAAAGCGTACGGAGCCGCTAGCTAGCAGGCAAGAAACCAGTATTACCTACCTACGGTTACGTACGTAGCCATTAGCCAACCATTCAGCTGCGTCCAAGTGTGTGATCTCCAGGGCTCCAGGCCATCAGCTGCTTACGTGGTACGTGATCGTCGTGACCAAAAATGTCTGCCACGGCGGCGGCGGCGGCGGCGGCGGCGGCGTCACTGTTCGAGGCCCTGGACAAGGACGGCGACGGCAAGGTGTCGGCGTCGGAGCTGCGCAGCTGCGCGGCGGCGCCGCTCGACGAGGAGGAGGCCGCGGCCGTGCTCGCGGCGGCGGACGCCGACGGGGACGGCCTGCTGGACCGCGACGAGTTCCTCGGGCTGGCCCTCGAGGCGGCTGCGGCGGCGGACCAGCAGGCCGACGACGACGACGCGGGCGGCAGCAGGCGGCGGTGCCTCAGGGTGGCGTTCGGGATGTTCGCGGACGCGGACGACGGGGGCCGCCAGGGGGCGGCGGAGCAGAAGGAGCAGTGCATCACGCCGGCGAGCCTGCAGCGGATGCTCGGGCGGCTGATGGGCGCGAATAAGCAGTTGCAGCTGGCCTTGGACCTGGACGAGTGCAGGGCCATGATCTGCAGGTTCGATCTCGATGGCGATGGCGTCATCTCTTTCGAAGAGTTCAGGGTCATGATGCATGATGGCCTATTATGATACGAATACGATCCTTCGTTGTTCGTACATTTTTTGGGATGAATTTTGAACTATATACATTCGTACAGCTTTTATGTCAAAATGTGCACATGTGAATTTGACGTATTACTACCACCTCCACAATACAGTAATTAATTTTATCGCGTTCTAGCTACTCTCTCGTACAATAAAGTTGATGGTCATCATTGTTTATCAGTAAGATAGTAGCTCGCAAACCTGCACACCGTTAGACTGTCTCCAACGGTGTACCTAGACGCAAAAATGCGTTATGCACAGTGTTTTTGTTACCAAAACACTCCTCCAACGGAGGACCGAATCCAGATACCTATTCTGGGTACTCGGCGATTCGGTTGGCAAATCTATGTCGTCGAAGAGAGATGACGCAAACACGCAGTGGTGGGCCCGTAGGAGCCGTCGGGGCAGGGCGCGGCCGTCTCGACTCGGCGAGGCGGATCCGCGGTGGAGCGTGGCCGGCGGGGCGAGGCGGGCTGGAGGCGAGGAGCGCCCGGAGCGGCGCGGCGTGGCGAGGCGGATTCGGGGAGGAGTGGAGTGGAGGAGGCGGGCCGCCGCGGGAGGAGTTGACGAAGGAGAGAACGCGCTGGGGTCGCCGCCGGGCGCGAGCTCGGGGGAGCCACCTCCGCAGCAGGGGCAGCCCTCGCCTGCGCCACGCCAGCGCCGCTGGTCGCTTGCTGCGTCGGGGCCACCTCGCCACGCCCATGGCCTAACCGGGCTGCCCGCTGCCTGAGCCGCTGCAAGGCGGCAAGGCCTGCCAGCGCCGGTGCCGCCGCCACGCCGAGGGGCGCCTGCCTCGGCCACCAGCGCTCTCTGCCACCACGCCGGCCTGGCCGCCACATGAGAGAGCTGCCTCTCACTTAGGCCAGCCAACAAGAAGACCACAAAGCCCACTGCTGGTGTCGCCACCACGCCGAGGGGCGTCGTGGCCCCGCTGCCGCCACACGGCGAGGTGCTGTTGCCGCCTGGGGAGAGAAGAGAGTGAGGGAGCGTGGAGAGAGAGAGAGGAGAGAGAGCACGGATATTTTTGCGGGATTTGGGGCTCATCCGTTGGAGAGGTCGAGAATGGGGTGTGTCGGATATTTTAGTGTGCGTTACCTAAACGGTGAAATGGGTATCTGATTTGGGTCACGCCGTTGGAGTCAGTCTTAGCATGCAGCGGAGAGAGGTTCAGTCTTAGCATGCAGCGGAGAGAGGTTCAAACAGAGAGGCCGGCTAGATGTCTGTTTTTCATCAAAAAGTCCACGCATACCTCTGGAAAGACCTACCATGGAGGAGCACAACGGAATTGCTCTAAAGTCTGCAAGGTCATCTAAAATACCAACAAATCTTGTTGAGAGAGGCTCTAGATAGCAGAGGTTGGAGAAGCTAAAAGTAGGAGAAAAATAATGGTAGATTGATTGTTTCGATCGATTATGTTGGATAACCTCAATAAGCCGCATCTACAGCGAAGAAGACCTTCCCGAACGAGGGCCGTCCAGTCCCTGGCCGGCCCTGGCCGGCTCTCGGTTCTTGAGCAAGCTCCTCCACTGTGGGTAGGATGCAGATTTTGAGGCTTCGTCGTCCGGCTCCTCCAAAATTATGTTAGGATCGGCTGGCTCATCCTTATCATCCAAAAATAAAACAAAGACAAAATAGATTTGTTTCGATGACCTATCTAATCAGACTGAAATTGATGTCGAGTAAACCTTTGGTAGATATAGAAGGCTTGGTTTTATCTCAGTAGAAATCCTTTCCAAAACATAATCTGCAATTTTCCTACCAAATCAGAGGAATTTGCATCGAAATGCAGCAGGATGGTCAGGTCGGCTAGGGAGATTAGGCTGTTATCCGTCTAGCTTCTAGCATGCTTAAGAAAAGGAAAATGGGAGAGGAAAAGAAAAAAAGAATAAAAGAAAAGAGACTAACACATACGGAGTATAACATGACCGTCTCATGACATGATATCTCTCAACCCAACACAACCCTAGTGTTAGTGCTTCCATCCTTCCAAGAAAGAAGCATAGCGTCATATTTTAGCATCTTATAAGTTCGACCATTATAGATAAAAAGGTATAATACATATGATACTGTATTTTGATAATAGATTAATTTAGAGTCATAAATGTGTTTTTAATCCACCTTGGTCAAACGTGTATTAACAAGGTGGATTGAAAAGGACTAGGGGGAAAAAAACTCGGAAATGTCAAATTTTCCCCGGACAAAGTCAGTAATGAACGGTGAAGTTAGGGCGTGATTGGTTGCAGAAGCCTCGAGCCAGGATGGCTAGGCTGTGCAGGACCAAAGAAGCCGGGTTGAGCTTCGTGCAAGTGGTCGTGTTTGGTTGTCTTTGTTGTTGGTTCAGTACGAGATGAGATCATGTTTGGTTGCATGCATGCATCAAAGTTTTAGGTGTTTGACATATGGGCCCCTGCACCATGCGTGAATCAAGCCGTCTTGCATGGAGAGGAAAGTGAAAATTAAGAAGATAGAGACGTATGAGATGGAGGAGGTCAGATGAACGAAAAGATGTAGACGAAAAATACGAGCAAAAGAACCAAACACGACCACAGTGCACGAGTGATACCAGATGACCGTTCGGATGGCGTGAGCAGGGCAACCAATCACGCCTTAGTGAAGGTGCACCAGTCTGTCTCCCCTGATCCCCTCCTCCCTCGCGTCCACCCTGATTGGAGCGCGCGCAAGCGCACAGACACAGGACACGGCCGAGCACGGAGCAAGGCCGCCCTCTCCCAACTCCCCAGTAGCGCCGCTCGGCCACGCGCCCACTCCCCCAATCCTGCCGGGCCGCGTCGCCGACTCGCCGCCTGTTACCATTCGCCTCTGCAGATCCGGCACGGCGCGCGGCTCCTCGCCGAGTTGTTCCCGGCGGCGCATCCGAAGGTGGGATCTCTGCTCCCGAGATCACTGGAGCACTCTCTTGGTTTCATCCGTAATCGCGCTGATTGGCGCCGATTTCTCATCTCCGCAGGCTGTCTCCTGGGATCGCCGGATCGGTTACTCGCGTGGTTCGCACGACACTCGGGGACTCTGACTTGGTACCAAACAGTATCTGCGTCTTCTATCTTTGGATCTGGCCTTCGCCTCAGTTCAGGGAGCTGCGAAGGACAGCTTTGATTTGGTGCCTGAGTGATGTAGTGTGAGAGGCCGACTTCCTGAGAGTGTGATGAGCAGCCAGGGAGGATTCGGTACGGGGAGCCCCAAGTCCTTCCGCTACCCCAGAGGCGGCGACTTCGATCTCGAGTCCGGGTCCCCCCGCAAGGGCCGCAAGCCCAAGAACGCTCACCTCGAGACCTCGATCGTCATGAGGATCCGCTACTTCTACGAGGCGCACCCCGTGGCCGTGGCCCTTATCCTCCTCTCCTTCGGGCTCAGCGTCCTCGTCCTCCTGTCCGTTTACGAGACCCGGTTCAGGGCGATGAGGAGCGTCGGTGCGTGGTCCAGTGACGGCCGGGAGTACCCATTTCCAAAGCTTCGGAACCTCGTCATGGTGGCTGGGCATTCGATCTACACGAGCTCGAGATGCGGGGAGACTGAGAGCGAGAATTCCTGGTTCTTGGAGCCGTACCAGAAGCACCCTGGACAGGCGGCCACCTTCCTGGCTCACATCAAGGAGGGGGTGGGGATCGCGGCCAGGGATGAGGGGGCGCTCCTGTTGTTCAGCGGCGGGGAGACGAGGAGAGATGCTGGCCCGAGGAGCGAGGCGCAGAGCTATTGGGCTATTGCCGAGTCGAAAGGATGGTTTGGTGAGTTTTCAGCAATTTCAACATTTCTTGGTTGATCTACTTTAGTAAGATTAGTGTCATAGTAAATCTCTGTTGCTCTATCAAAGGTAGGATATATTGTGCAATTACTTATGACTGCTAACCCATCAGTTGTTCTAGTAAAATGCAAAACAAACAAGCTTGTCTTTGGGGCTATATATTCATATGGCAGATTTCAGAATCGAGAGTGGATGGTTCAAATGGTCACATTATGGTGCTTCATTATTCTCAATTCAAAAATCATATTCTGTTTCTGTAAGGCACTAACAATAGGCAAGGCCTAAAAGGTTGGGTTTCTGGTTATGTCAAAATATATAATTCAATGCACATTTCCACCTCTGCAACAAGGACAGTCAGAGCATCTGAGTATGTGCTCAAACAAATTAACGTTTCCTGAAGGTTAATGTTTTTAACTTCCTCACTGTCATCACCAATTCACCATTGTGGTAGTTACACCTTAGCCGTGCTTGCAGCTTGATCTTGATGTTTCTGTCGTTTTCTTTATTTTTTGAACGCAACGGCAGGAGCTCTGTCTTTCAATTAAGATAGAGAAAGAAAGTTTATTTACAAGCAAGGACACTCGAGATTAGGGTTTCAAACCCCCACAAGCATGTAAAGGAGGGAAACGCACGGTCCAAAGGGAGGACAACAGCTAAACATAAGCGAATACTCTCTTCCTTTGCTCTATGTCTTGTTTTATTCTTGCGGCTACTTGTGGCACCGTTTCCATCTTGTTGTCAAAAATTCTCCTATTTCTCTCTTTCCAAATATTCCAAAAGGTGTAGATTATTACCCCGTTAAGCCGCCTACGCTCAGATCTTGGCACTTTCCTTGGCGCCTCTTCCCACCATGACCTGATATGGGTGGGGTCTAGCTGGGGTTGCTGTTGAATTTGAGTGAAGTTTTTCCACGAGAGGATTTGATCCCAAATCGCCTTAGCAAAAGGGCAACATAGGCATAGGTGGAGGCCGGTCTCTAAAGGACTGTTGCACAACACGCATTGTTGTTGGTGTGGCCACCCTCTCCTTTGTAGGTTTTGCGCCGTTAGAATTTTATCTTGCACTAAGATCTAGGCGAAGATTTTGCATCTGTTCTCCACATGCGCTTTTCAAATCAAATCCGTATGGAAGGGGACGAGCGAGCCTTTGAATTGAATTCTGTAGGCCGAGCGGGTGGAGTAATTCCCATCCTTGGTCCATCGCCAGATGATGGTGTCCTGGACGCCCTGTTGTAGGTGCACATCCTGTATTCGTATCCAAAGGGACACAAACTCCTCTATGTGGACAGCCGAGGCGATTTTCCTTCCTAGCTTGTGCATCCAATTGTTGTTCCGGAGCTCTTGTTGCACCGTTCGGTTTCTCCTTGAAACAAGGCAAAACAAGTTTGGGGCTAGGTACCTAGGAGCTTGTCCATCAAGCTAATTGTGGTGCCAAAACTTAGTCTTTGCACCGTCCCCCAAAGTTATAATGATTGAGGAGTTGAAGAGGAGACGATCATCATCAGAACATGGAAGCTCCGAGCCGCTCCAAGACTTGAAATCGTCCACCCATTCTTGCCAAAGCCATCTCAACCGGAGGGCTCTCCTAAATCTATCGAGGTCAGGGACGCCTAAACCACCAAGGTCTTTTGGTCTGATAACTGTTTGCCAGTTAACTAGGCAGTGTCCGCCATTGGCATTCTCCTCCCCTTTCCACAAGAAAGATCTTCTGATTTTGTTGATCTTTTTCTTAGCCCATGCAGCCAGAGGAAACACTGTCAGGTGGTAGGTTGGCATGGAGGAGAGGACAGAGGTTACTAGAGTGAGGCGTCCCGCTCTGTTTAGCCATCTTCCTTTCCATTTGGGTAACCTTTGCCCAATACGGTCTATGAGAGGTTGCACATGGATCTTTTGCAGTGATCTAATGTGGAGTTGCAGCCCCAAATATTTGCATGGGAAGCCCCCTCTAGTACCGGTGAAAGGTGACAGGACTTGGTCTAGGTCGACGTTTGCACAACTGATTGGATGCACTGAGCTCTTTTGTAGATTAATATGGAGTCCCGAGAATGTGCCAAAAGCCTGTAGGATGATTTTGACGGCTTCTACATCGTCTTTTGTCGGGCTGATGAAAATGGCCGCATCGTCCGCATACATAGAGGTTCTCCATTTTGCCGTCGTGATTGGTAAGGGGGTGAGTATTCCATGTTGGGTTGCTTGGTCAAGCAAACGTTGAAGCGGGTCCATAGCTAGGATGAATAGCATGGGTGAAAGCGGATCTCTCTGCCGGACGCCTCTGGCATGGCTAAAAGTGGCCCCCTGCCGCCCATTAAGCAAGGGTGTCGAGGTGGATGTACGTAGGAGGATAGAGATCCATTCACGCCATTGTTGTCCGAAGCCCAGAGCCTGCAGAATCTCAAGCAAGTACCCCCAATGTACCGTATCAAAAGCTTTGTGGATGTCTAGTTTCATGAACAAAGCCGGTATCTTCTGCTTGTGTAGCCTTTGTACCGCACCCTGGACGTAAAGAAAATTATCATGGATGCTTCTCTTTTTTTATAAATGCGCTCTGACAGTTGGAGACGAGGGAGTTCAGTCGAGGGGCAAGTCTGTTAGCTAACACTTTGGAGAAGATTTTTGCAATGCTATGGACGAGGCTGATGGGTCTAAAATCAGTAACTCTTGTTGCATCCGTTTTTTTGGGTAGAAGGATGATGCAAGCCGAGTTTAGCCATTCAAAACCCTGGGCATTCAATGTGAATAGGCTGTTCATGGCTGCCATAACATCATCTTTAATGATTTCCCAACAAGCTTTGAAGAAAGCACCCGTGAAGCCATCCGGGCCTGGCGCTTTGTCGGAAGGCATGGAATATATAGTGTTTTTTTATCTCTTCCTGGGAGAAAGGCACCTCTAGTTCGGAGAGATCATGTTGGTTGTAGCCAAGGGATTGCCAATTGACTGTGGAAACTCTCGGAACCACGGAGCCAATGTGATTTTTAAAATAATCTCGTATCACCTTTTCTTTCTCTTGATGAGCCACTGCGATCCCCCCATCCGTATGTAGACAATGTATGTAATTCTTTCTCCGGCGTACATTGGCTCTACTATGAAAGAATTTAGTGTTAGCATCTCCACACCGGATGTATGTTAGCCTCGATCTCTGTCTGATTCTTTATTTTTCAATGGCTGCGAGCCCAGTGCTACAGGCTTTGAGGCGGCGACATAGGTGAAGCTCCATGCCAGTGAGCAACCTATGCTCTTGGGCTGCTTCTAATTGTAACAGTACTTCTTTCACTATGGCAAGCTGCATCCTCGTATCCCCTATCTTGTCTTTCTTCCAACGCTTGATTCCTTTTGCCACGCGCCATTTTGATATGCAAGCGTTTCATAGGAAGAGCAGAGGCGACCGGCCTATTCCAAGTGTTTTGGATAAGATCTTGAAAGCCTTCCATCTTAGTCCAATAATTTTTGAAGCGGAAGGACGTGCTGTGATGGTGGTCAAGCTCTCCCTGGAGTAGCAGCGGGGTATGGTCCGACATGAGCGATGGAAGGGAGTGTAAGAAACACGTGGGGAAGAACAGCTCCCACTCGGAGGTACATAGTAGTCTGTCAATTCTAGTGAGCATCGGGTTGTCCTGTTGATTGCTCCAAGTGAAGCGGCGTCCATTTAGCTTGATTTCTTTGAGCCTCAAATGATCGATCGTCGCTCTAAATGCCCCCATGAGGCGTCGGTTTAGATTGGAATTGTTCTTGTCTTCTGCCTGGTAGATGAGATTGAAATCTCCCAGGATGAGCCATCTATTGTGCTCCGGCGGGGGAATGTTCTTCAATTCTTGGAGGAATTGAAGTTTGGCCACCTTGTTCCATCCGCCCTCATGTTGATCTGTGCGGTTATAGCGTTCGAGGTAAGTACAATGTCGGAGAGGTCGAAGAAGTCTTCATTCACCGCAAGGAAAACACCTCCCCAAGTCTGTTCCGCCGGGAGCGCAATATAGGAGTTTACAAATTTCGCTCCGACTGTTCGGCGCACCACATTATGATCCATAACTTGCATCTTTGTTTCTTGTAGACATACGATGGTGGCACCAGTGGTTCTCACTAACTCGCTCACCGAGTCTTGTCGGGCGCCATCATTCAAGCCCCTAACGTTCCAGTTAAGTAGCTAACAATTCAGCTGTGCCATAAGGAAACCAATGGGCCCCTATTTAAGATTAATCTGTGGAGGGAGGCAAGCAGGAAGCCATCTAGGGCTGTGGTACTGGCAATAAGCACAAAGATAATCACACAGAGGCACATGGTCATGAAAGCAGCAAATTGGAGTCGCCGATACATCTGAAAGCCAGTGGCTGTCGGCGCAGTGATACAAAGCAAGAGTTTCTTGCTCACAGAGTTGTTGCTACAGCGAACTACTAGATGAAGGGTCCTTGCAGTGTGGTGGGGGTGACTGTAGGCCTCTGGCTGTCACCCCACCCAAGCACCATGACTGGACGCTCACAAAAGATGTGGAACTCCTAGAGCTCCTGGAGCGGTGACCGATTACTAACATTAGTACATTGATCTACCCATGCGCGTCAGCAGCTATCTAGGCGTGCATAGTGGCCAGCGCTGCCGCAGCGTCGAGGCCACACAATGTCGTCAGAGCCTTCACGGCGTCGTCGGTGAGTGGTCCCTTGAACAGGCTGAAGTAGCGTAGCAACGCCTCGTCATGGCTGAGTCCTTCCACGTCGAGGATGCCAAGCCTTTTCATAAGCACTTGCCTGGCCTTCGCCTGAGTATCACCCCTTGGCGCCGCATGGTTGCAATGCGCGCGCGCGCTCTGCGTCTGCGGCGGGACGAGGGCCTCTTGCGTCATGGCGGGCGGGCCGGGTTGGCGACCGACCTGCAAGATGGGTTGAGGCAGAGGTTGTGAGATCCCCTCTAGGAATTCTGACACTGCCGCTGCAGTGACAGGCGTGCTTTAGCCAGCGTCGTGTACCTCCAGAGTGGCGCTGGTCTGCTCTGGCTGTTGCTGCTGGAGGTCTTTTGCCATGTGTTGGCGGCGCGAGCAGTTGCTGGCCGTTCCGTGGGCGCAGCGTCTGGAGTAGACGAGCCCAGGGCGGAACCGCACCACCTGGGCGCTTCCCGCTGGTTGTGCCTGCTTCCGGTGTGTGGGGGGAACACAAGGCCGCCTAGAGTAGACTCGTCCCGTGCGGAAGCGACGTTCTGCAGCGAGGTGTGAGCGCTGATGTGTCGCAATGTCGTGGTCGCTGACGGGGGGAACCAGCAGTACATTCAGGCAAGAAGAGATACAGTGGCCGTCAGTGGCTCCGAAGAAGAGTTGCCCGGTGGTGCGGCCATGGTCAGCGCTGCGGCATCAAGTGGGACGTTCGGCTTCTAGGTTGGAGAAGCTGAGAGCGAAGGAATGAAAGGCTGATCATCGAATTAACTTTGGTTAGCACGCACCTTGGGAGGGTTTGGTGATGGGTGATGGTTATTGCCGTTGCCACCGCTGAAGTCAGGCGACTTGCAGCGCAGGCGTGGTGACGGGGACTTTGAGCGCGCCGTTGTGGTCCTCGGTTCCGAACGCGCGTGCTAGTGCGGCCTCCAGTGGGGCGTCCGTTCCCTGCTTCGACCCCTAGTTCTGCGATGGACATCCATCGGGCAGCCGGGGTCAGCGGGCTTGGCGAGCTGCTGTCGAGCCCTCGTGTTTGCACCTGCAGCGTTGCTTGGGGCAGATAGGCGGGCGCCATGGCCAGCAGCGACGTCGTCCAGTGGGCGTCGACGACCTCCGTGTTCGGGGCTCCGGTGTCGACGGCCTCCGTGCCTGGACTCCGAACGCTCCCGCTCGCGGTCCTTGGGCACCCGCGAAAGGCTGCGGGTGAGACGCGAGTACCAGTTGTCGCCCTGGCATCCACGATGGTCGTCGTCGTCGTCACGATGGCTGCCGTGGATGTCAGCAGGCGGAGGGTCGTGGCGGTCGCGCGGCATCTTTTCTCTATCAACGACCCCGTAGTCCCACGTGTATACACGAGGAGCAGCAGCACGTCCATCTCTGCTCGGTGGGTCCTCCACCAGGTCAAGGTGCACCAGCACCCTGAAGGTGAGTCCCCGACGGCCGCGAGCAGGCTGCGAACTGTGGAACTCTGCCTTCCTGCACGACAAGGTCAGCTAGGTTACCTTTGGAATGTCGGACGGGTTGTGAGTCTAGGCCCAGACACAGAGTGCCCTGGTGTCGGCACGGTCCAGCGAAGACTTCTCGACGTAGTCAAGGTCGCAAGCTTTGGCGACTGCCCTCTTGGCGATGCTCTCGTTCCAGGCGTGAAGGGGGATGCCCTCCAGGCACAGGCGAACGCGGTACTTGAGGTCGCAAATGTCGTCGTGCGTGACCAGCTGCCACGGCCTTGTGTGGATGTCGAGGTTGCGATAGGGGAAGGTCCCCTGTGCCACAGCCTCGTCGCGGTGGTGCCGGTGCTTGAACTCGATGAAGAAGTCTTCGGGGGCGTGCCTGACGACGGTGACATCCTCCGGACGAACCGGAAAATGGTGGCGGATGGCCCTCTTGATGACCTCTGGCTCCACCACCGGCCGGTCCCCCCCCCCAGGCCACCATGCCATGCATGGAGAGGCGGTCGAGCTCCTGGTCCATGTTGTCGACGGAGAAGGCCACGACACAGGTGTCCAGAGGACGGACAGAGGGGTCCCCGGGCCTGGCCATCGCGCCCGTTCCCAAAGGTGGGAAGTTGCTGTCATCGAGTGGAGGAGCAATCTTGGGCGGGGGAGCTTGCTGCCTGGAGGATGAAGGTCTGCCTTTGCACACATTGCTTTTATGCCCCCAGCGGCCACAAGAGAAGCACCGCACCGGGTCCCTGCAGTCCGCCGCAGCGTGGCCAGGGGAGAGACATCGGAAACATTTACCTCTCATGCGCCGCTGCAGTTCATCGTTGTGGTGGTGGCGCGCCGATTTGACCTGGGTGGTTGAGGGAGTTGAATGCATCGTGCTTTTGAACTCAAGGAGACGCCACCATCGTCTTGGGCGCACCATTGACCATCCGTCTTCATCTTCTGACGCGAGGCGCGCGCGTGAATGCGCTCCATCGGCCTGCTACCACGCCCCGGTGACAGCCCTGAGCCACCCCCCTCGGGAAGGGAAATCCCCATCAAAGCAGGGCGTTGCAGACTGGAGGGGGGAGTTGAATGCCCGGCGGATTGAGCGCCAGCGGCATGCCTCACTGCAGCGGATCTGAGGCAAGATTTAGTTGGCGTAGCGCCGTTGGAGTAGTAACATCTCACCGGGTGGTTGCATAGGGGGGAGGCGAACTTGACGCGCTTGCCCGACGTGCTTCCTGTCTTGTCCGACCCACTGGCAGCAGCAGCGGGAGTAGCAGTGGTTGCGCCGAGGCGGAGCTCCAGCCCCACGGCGACCGAGATGGGGACTGGGGACTCGCCGTGAGCAGCAGCGGGCGCGCCGAGCCGGAAACTCGGCCCCACGGCGACCGAGATGGGGACTGGGCGGCGGGGAGGCAACACACGGGGTGAGAAGCGGTGGGAGACGGGCTCGATCTGTGGCTGTGGGCCACCGCAAGCTTTACGAGTGGGATGAGGAGGACGACCGCGGGGAGGGGAGCGCGCTGTAGCGCACGGCGACAGGGGGCCGCGGCCGGCGGCGGTGGATCTGGGCTGGGGGGCGGCGTACGGGGGCGGGGGCGGGGGCGGAGGAGCGGGGGAGCGTAACGGTTCCATCGCCCTCAGAATGTCGTTTTCTTTATCACTGAATGACTTCCCAGTTGTCCTTCACTACTAACTTTATGTGTGGACATGCACAGGAAATGATGAGAGTGTAAGGAGCCGAGCACTCACTGAGGAGCATGCACGAGATAGCTTTGAAAACATCCTATTTAGTGTGTGCCGTTTCAGAGAGCTCACTGGAAGATACCCACAAAACATAACTGTAAGCCTTGCTTCTTTTGAAAACCTTGAATTACCTGTTTACTTATTAATACCAGTATAGTAATGGGTATTGATCTTCTGAAGTTTTAATAAGCTCTTTGAGTTCTGATTATTGCCATTCTCTAATCGGCACATTTGAACATTTGTTGATTAGGTTGTTAGCTATGATTTCAAGGAGGAACGGTTTGCTCAATTGCACAGAACCGCACTCGGATTCCCAGAAGGCAGATTCTTCTTCACAGGTACACCAGCTACACCTTCCGCAAGGGAGGCTGCTCTGAAAGGTGAAGCAGCTGTCCGTTCTCAATTCCTTGAAGACCCATATGGATGTCTAGGATCTCTTCATGTAAATAGGCTGAAGAGGGACCCGTTCCACCGTACCATTCCATACCCTGATGGCTGCCCGGAGCTGAAGGGTCTGTTCTCCTATTGTGGCCCGGTGCCTTACTCCGGGCACCTCCCTTGGACTGAATAGCTAGTGTAATAATGTACATCAATCTTGGATCGAGGTCCCCACTGTCACTGCACGATTCCAGCACCCTTGCACTGACCTTGTTCTGAATTGAGGGAAACATATTAAACCTTGCCATCTGCACGAGGGGGAGGTTGCTTTTGCAATACAAGTATATGTTACACTATCAATATAATATATTTTTAACCTTTTTCTTTCTCCTCGATGACTTGTCTCTTGTCTTTGTGAAGGGACCGTGACGTCTCTCCTCGATGACTTGTCTCTTCTTTGTGAAGGGACCGTGACGTCTAAAAGATGGGGGTTGAATTAGGTAACTTAAAATTTTAACTCTAAACTATGGTCTTTTTTTCTAACCCCAGCAAAACCTATGCGAAAGATAAACTATCTAAATGTGCAACTACGGTTTTGCTAGTGTGTTGCTATCTCTACCGCAAAAGGAGCAATGTAATCAATGTAAATGCGGAAGCTAAAGAGCAAGGTAGAGATATGTAAACTCCCGTCGATGACTCTGGTATTTTTACCGAGGTATCAAAAAGCGCGCAAACTTCCCCCTAGTCCTCGTTGGAGCCCCTTTCAAGGAATCCCTCGTAAGGGTCAAGCTCTCGGTCGGGTAACTCCGTGGATAGCCTCGGACCTTCCCCACGCGTAAGTGGGTCTCCGACGTGCCTTCCGGCAAGCCTCTTCTGGATGCTCCCCGCCGTCTTCACTATCAAACTTCCGACCGAAACGTTGCGGGCCATGTTCCCTCCTGTACACGGTGGCGGCCACACCACAAACGCGGTTGGTGTGATCTCGTAAGACTACAAGCCCCTCCGATGTACAATAATGGTACGCGCAAGCACCGAGTGGTAAGAGGTATGCTGTGGCAGAACCGTCTAATCTAATGTCTCACAGGAGTGCTTGTCTTCCATTAGACACTAAGCACTCGAGGGAGAACACTAAATTACTCGGCTCCGTCGGGCACACCCCAGGGGAGAACCCGAAAATCCACATTTTTGCCATCAGGATCACAAATAGGAGAATAAAGCTTATATCATTTTTAACCATTTCTTACATCACTTTTAATACAACATCATAGTATAATATTTATTGTTATGACAGCGGAATGAAATCATATTATCAGAGTTGTGAATCATTTATTTGAACAGCGGAATATAAATATGTGAACAGAGTTACAGCGAAAATAAACATCTATTAATGACATGATGAAGTATTGATATGTAAACTATGACAACAGGTTATAAACTTTCTTTTATGAAAACATTTGGTAAGAGTTATAAATAAAAACTACGATCGCAGCGTAAAGGAATCATCGCTGAGCCCACCAGGAGGAATCCACACACAAGAGTCAGCTTTAGCCTCCACCTGTCACCTGCAACAGGGGGAATAAAACCCTGAGTACTCAATTGTGCTCAGCAAGACTTATCCGACAGGAGGAAAGAAAAGACTCCAAGGATATGCAAGGCTATCTGGCTTGTGGGTTTATTGCATTTGCAGGAAGCATTACTAAGCGTGCGTCCTTATATTCGATTTTTATTAATAGCCGCATTGGTTCATTAACTAACCATTCTATGTAAGCACCTGTACTACTTTCAAGCAGGTGGTAAGCAATCAGACTTCCTTTGTCCATCTTTCATCTTTCAGTTCTTACTACGATGCTAAACACGAGACAAGCCGTACCGGATCGCCCGGCGATTCGCGAATCAATGCCCCCAGCTGGGTACCCTGAAAACACACGCCTCGCTTGTACCCCGGGCACAAGCAGGACCAACCCATCACTCTCCTTTCCCGGGTGTCTAGGTCCCCGTCCAAATTGGGACTCCAAGCCCCCGCCCTTGAGTCCCAAACTCAGTGCGGTGCAAGGACCTCCTCCACCAAAATAAAACACTGTCAGTCGGTCCGGAAAGAGCCGGATCTGCGATAAGAGAGCAACAAGTCTTCTAAGTGCCCATACAAAGTATATGCTCGGGATAATAAGTCTGTGACTTGTCTGGATGCCTTATGCAACGATCGGTCCTTAACCGACACAAATAGGAAAAGCAGTGTAACTAAGCTATGCCCCGTGTCCACGGCGACACAACCTCTTACACCCACCAATACCCAAACCATATCCCTGCCCGGTCACCAATTTCCTTTCCACCATTTATATTTTCCAAGTGATGATAATCCAACAATATATTTCCTATATCTCGCAAGTGACAGACAATCACTCGACTTCTACCAGAGTCCTGTAGCATAGAAATCTACACGATCCTGTCATACTAGTAAGACTCATAGGATAAAGATGTATATACAAGTGGGTATCATTCAACTCCTTAAAATTTAATGCACAAATATATTTTAAACTGTAGAAAAGTAGGGGTTATGCACCGGAGTTTGTCTGGGTAAGATATATATTAAAAAGTTAGTATCTGCATCTTTAGATCATCCACCAGCAACTGAATAGCAAGCCCATGGCATCATCTCCAGGAGAGAATACTATTACACTATCTTCGGATTCCCAATCATCCTTCGATCGATCCGTTGATCCGTCATCATACCTATATGATATGCATGCGATGCAGTGCAAAGATGTAATTAATCAACTGCAATCGTGACTCGTAAAATATGACGTACGCCTCTTGAATTAACGGGCTAGTTCTAACGACGATCGTACTTAGGCTATATATACACGTTGTCGGATAAGGCGTTATTTCCCAACGATAATTTTAGTTATGTAAAGCAAGCTGTTTCTTTATTTTATTCTATCAATTTAATTATTATTCGAATTAGAGCATCATTATCTACCTAGCAATTAATTATTATTGAGCTACAAAAATTACAGTGAGTACCTAATATTGCTAGGAGTCTACTGTATAAATTTTAGATCCAATAATATTACCAATTTATCACAACAATTCCTACAAGTTATCTTTTTACCATATTAATTACCTTAAATTAATTATCTAGCTTCCAAGAATATTATCACACTATGTGAATAAAATACCCTATCAGATAGACCATGATTTTAGAAACTTAACGAAACTGGTTTGGTATTTTTATGATTTTTCTACTATTTACTATGAATTTCCAATTATTCAGCCGATTACTAATATTAACAAAATACCGAAGAAATAAGAAAAGACCCTTGGGCCCGAAGTGGCCCAGCTCGCCTGGACCAGCGGCCACGGCAGCCCAGAGGCGCGGTGGCCCAAGGCGAGCGCGCGGCCAGCGCACAGCGCGGTAACCAGCCGGCCCAGGCGGCGCAGACGGCGGCCCAACGCGGGCGAACGGCCCAGCAGGACGGCCTGGCAGGGCGCGGGCGGCCAGCGGCAGGCCGGCCCAGCAAACCGCGCGCAGAAAATGGGCACGGCGGCCCAGCAAGGCGCGCGGCCCAGACAGCGACGGTAACAGGCCGACAGCGCGGCACAATTTCAAAACGGTCCCTGAGCTTCCACTAAATTACCCCTCAGTACACTCAGCACTATTCCTATGGGTCACGTATTTGCGTAAAGAACCCTGTATAAATTTTTGTCTTGGACTTTCACCCATCTCATCTTCACTTCGTCTTCTACATCCAGAGGAGTAGAGGAGCACCGGCCGACACAGCATGGCAGCCCGACGGCAGTGGCCGAGGAGCGGGGAGGGGAAATGGCGCTGCTGGCACGGGCAATGAGGACGCAGCCGCGTTAGGCACGGGTGCGTAGGGGGGTTCATGCGCGCGCCCGAGATAGAGGCAGAGCGACGGCGAAGTAGCTCGGCGTCGTTCGGCTGGCCATGGCGGGCGCTGCGGTGGTGCGGCACGCGGAGATGCGGCGCGGTGGCGATCGAGGCGCGGCACATGACCAAAACAGCCAGCAGCACGGCACGTGACCAAGGGCGCCCCGAGGTGGCTGCGGGTATGGCGGGCGGCGACTGGAGGTGGAGCGCTATGGAGCCGCCGGTGCATGGTAGCGCGGCAGCGAGGTGGGGACGCATGCGGCACCGTGGAGCAGCGACTCCGGCGCGAGGCAAGGAAGCTCGCGCGCGCGGACGGCGGCACAGCCATGGCTGCCGTGGTCCAGCGCGGGACGCACGGGAGAGGCCACGGGGCACGGGCGCGCCTGGCCTCGGCGGTGGACCGAGGCAGAGGGGAAAGGAGAGGGGACGTGCGTGTGCTCGCGCGAGGCTGGCGAGGCGGCTCGGTCTAGTGCGGCCGTGGGCTTCACGCGCGTATGCGAGGGGAAACCGGCGACGGCCACAGCAGCCAGAGAGGAAGAGCTGAGCGAGAGCAGCGGAGAAAGAAAAAGGAAGAAGGCAGCAGCGTAGACTAGGCTTGCCTGTGCTGTAGTGCATTGGCTGCTGGTGCTCCCATTAAAATATTTGGACAAGACCAAAGAAGCCAGGTCGATTATGACCAGACAAGTGAGGCAGAGCACTAACGCTGACCACAGGCAGTAGAAAAGAAAGAACACTGATGCCTCTTCGCGGCAGTAGAAAAAGAAAGAGAGGGAAACAGCGTGAAGACATGTCTGACACGATCTAGACTTTGGCCCGGTAAAACACGCAGAGACAGACAAGCAATGACAGGGACGGATGCTGGCGCGGCGTGCGTTTTTGTATTGAGAATATTATTTGTTTTCTCTAGCTGCCCGCTGCGGTAGATTACTAGATATACTGCACTGGATGGTGGAGTAAAAAGCAGCAGCTGCAGCATTCCGTCAAATCCTCATTAAGGTACTCACAGAGAAGAGAAAAAGACGCAAGAGAGAAGGGACACAGCGAGCAAGCAGCCAGCGTAGCCAGGCCGGCAAACCACGCGTGTGAGGTCACGAGGAAGCAACGTTCAGTCCTTCAGCAGTAACCAGCAGAGGCAGACAATGGAGAAAAGAAAGAGGAAGCAAGAGGTCGGTCAACTTGTACAGCCTTGCAGAGAGCACAGACAGAGACGTTTACCGTAGCACTAGCACCATTGTTACACGTTCTTTGATTTAGAGCTATTGTCGTAACGTGTGTGTATATATATATATATATAGTTTACTACT